AGTCCTGTGTTTTTGGATGTTTCTTTTTTTGGGGGGAACTCGATTGCGAAATCCTTCCGAGACCGAAGGTTTTTTGAAGGATTTCGGCATGCGCGCGCGACGACGCGCGCGTGTGCACTTCGTCCATTTTTTTGCAAGGGATTCGTGAACAAGTGTTATGTTAGAGCAAGCGAGGTCCCCGCGTTTTTTTTTTTTTTTTTTTTTTTTTTTTTTTTTTTTTTTTTTTTTTTTTTTTTTTTTTTTTTTTTTTTTTTTTTTTTTTTTTTGTTTTTTTTTGTTCCCCCCCCAACCATCCTGTGGTGTTGGGTCCTCGTTTTGAAGAGACGGTGCCCCGCGTCTCCTTCCTCCTCCTCCTCCGCCTCCTCTCCCCTCCTATCATCCTCATCGTCATCATCATCACCATCATCGTCGTCATCACCATCATCGTTGTCCTCGTCGCCATCATCGCACGTTTCGTGGCCCCATACGGAGCTCCACCGAAGGTCCCAGTGGGTGTGCCCGCATGCGTCCCGCACGCCCATTTTGGCACACCCCTCACACGTTTCGTGGCCCCATAGGGAGGTCCATTTACGGTCCAAGTGGCGCAGCTCGCATGGCGCCACCGCCCCATTTTGGCACACCCCTCACACGTTTCGTGGCCCCTCAGGGAGCCCCACCTGAGGTCCAAGTGGCGCAGCTCGCATGGCGCCACCGCCCCAATTTGGCACACCCCTCACAGATTTCGTGGCCCCTCAGAGAGCTCCTTGTGGCACACCCCTCACACGCTTCGTGGCCCCATAGGGAGCTCCACCTAAGGTCCACGTGGCGCAGCTCGCATGGCGCCACCGTCCCTTTTTGGCACACCCCTCACACGTTTCGTGGCCCCATAGGGAGCCCCATTTACGGTCCAAGTGGCGCAGTTCGCATGGCGCCACCGCCCCATTTTGGCACACCCCTCACAGATTTCGTGGCCCCTCAGGGAACTCCACCTGAGGTCCAAGTGGCGCAGCTCGCATGGCGCCACCGCCCCTTTTTGGCACACCCCTCACACGTTTCGTGGCCCCTCAGGGAGCTGCACCTAAGGTCCCAGTGGTGCAGTTCGCATGGCACCCCTTCACACGTTTCGTGGCCCCACAGGGAGCTCCATCTCAGGTCCAAGTGGCGCACCCCACATGGCGCCGCAGACCCACTTTGGCACACCCCTCACACGTTTCGTGGTCCCATAGGGAGGGAGGAGGAGGAGGAGGAGGAGGAGGAGGAGGAGGAGGAGGAGGAGGGAGGAGGAGGAGGAGGAGGAGGAGGAGGAGGAGGAGGAGGAGGAGGAGGAGGAGGAGGGCGAGGAGGAGGACGAGGAGGAGGAAGAGGAGGAGGAGGAGGAGGAGCAGGAGGAGGAGGAAGAAGGACCGCCCTGGCCGCTGTCGCCGCCGCCGATGCCGCCGTCGCCGCCGTCGGCGCCGCCGTCGGCGTCATGCTCGCGGCCCCACAGGCGAACGGGAGAGAGGGTCCCCTCCCCCTCCTCCTCCTTTCCCTCCTCCTCGCTTCCTTCTCTTTGTTGCCCGCGCGCATCATCATTGTCCATGCTTGTAGTCTCCTGCTTGTTTTTACGGACGACCTGCGCGCGTCGCTGGGACCCCTCCGCGGCGACCTGCGCGCGTCGCGGGGACTCCGCGCTGCTCTGCGCCCGCAGCTTTGGATTCTTGGAGCGCGCAGGCAAAGAGGGGGGAAAAGAAGGGGCGGAAGCGGGTGCGATCCCCGTGAGGGGCGTGCCGACATGGGCGTCGCGGCGCGCGGGCGCTGCCGTCGGGGTTCCCGCGGAAGCTGCCTGCGGCGGCCACGCCCAGTGTCACGAGTGTTCGGACAGGCGTGCTCGAGCCATTCACATTCATATACATTCACACTAGGCGTAGCCAAGATCGCATTCATGCACATATACTCACTCCCACGCAGACCCATTCACACTCAGACTCTCTCGCGCTCTGGCTCACCCGCGTTCATTCTTTCGTAATATGACCTATCGTATTCCTTTGTGTTGTGTACCCCGCCATATTTCGGCATACCCCTCATGCGGTTCGTGGCCCCATAGGGAGCGCCACCGAAGAAGGTACTCACAATTGCGGCACTCACAACTGCATATGGTTGGGTCGTTCGCCAGGATATTTTTTGTTTGGTTTGTTTTTTGTTTATATAAAAAACAACAAACCAGATATCTAGATCTATGTATGTATATGTATATGTATATGTCTATGTATATGTATATATATATATATATATATATATATTCTCAAAGGGAACCTCAGGGTCCGCCCGAGTCCAGTCCAGTCTGCTTCAGTCCAATCGAGTCCACCGTATTTCAGTCTTCTGATCTATTTAGAGTTTGCGCTGGCTAGTGCCAGCAATCTCGTCCATACCCGCATTCTCAGTTCACCATGCGGTCCTTCCGCGTTGATCCTGCATGCGCCCAGCGCACGACTGCGTGCCGAGCAATACCGTACGAGCCTCGCGCGCGCCGCCACGCGCCCGTGTCGAACTCCGTTTAATACCAGTGGGTTTCGAAACAGTACAGGACAGAGACAAATTTCTGCGCGCGCACTTCTTCATCATCACCCCCATCAGCGCCATCGCATCACCGCTGTTATCGTCATCGTTGGTCACCGCCATTGCCGCTATCATCCGTCTACCACCTTCGTCACCGGCACACTGACATTATCATCGTCGCCGTCGTCTTGACCAACATCGGCGCCGTCATTGGCCTTGCCGTCGTCATCGTCATTATCGCCACTACCATCGCTGCTAGCATCACCGTTGCCTTCGTTGTCGACGTTACTACGGTGTCTAGCCCGCCCAATGCCCTCACCCGCACTGAAGCGCCCGCGCGCAAGCGTTGCCTTTGAGACGCGCTGGGACGTTGCCTTCGGTAAGGACCATCGCGGCCGCATCAGCTGTGCCAAACCAGCTTTCCGCTCTGCGCGAGCTTGCGCGCGCCAGCGCGGCCGCAGAGATGCGCCAGCTAGTGCCAAGGAGTTGCCGCAGTCACGGCCGCATGGGTTTTGCAACACAAGCTGCGGGTGGGAGGGTGGTACTTTTGCGCGAGCAGTGGACTTGACAACTCGTTGGTGTCGTCAACTTCTCCCAGCAGATGGATTGACGCTACCACCCTCTCCCGCCCAGGGCTATCAGCACCCATTGGGACTCTACAGATGTCGCACTCGGCTGCCCCATCTTTAATTTTCCATATTCATACCAGCCCAGACAGGCCAGGCATCCCCTTCATCCTGGAGGGTTTCTCCGAAGGGCTTAGGCGACCCGTCCTCCTCCTCCTCCTCCTCCTCCCTCCTCCTCCTCCTCCTCCTCCTCCATCTCCTCCCCCCACTCCCCCTCCTCCTCCTCCACCTCCTCCTCCTCCTTCTCCTCCTCCTCCTCCTCCTCCTCCTCCTCCTCCTCCCCCTCCTCCTCCTCGGGTCGCCTACGGCCCCAGGGGAAACCGTGCACCTCATCCTTGTCAAAGAATGCAATGCGCGCACACTCGCCTATCGCAACAGATAGGTTTCAATAGTCCCATGCAAAGATCAGTGTCCACACGCGCGCACTCGTCGATCATACTAAAATCAATAGGCCTGCCAGCATGCAAACACAAAAACAAACAAGCAGCCTGTAGGCTTTCCGCAACGATTATTCCACTCTCGTCGCGCGCACATCTGCTGAAATCATGCGAGAGCCATTGATTGTTGCAATCTTTCCCAGAATCCGCATTCTCCCCCCACCACGTGGCGCACCCGCGTTGATCCAATATGCGCCTAGCGCACGGACCCGTTCCAAATAGTACCATTCGGGGCATATGCGCGCGCCGCCATGCGAGCTTGTCGAAATCCTTCCACAGCCATTGTGTTGGACGCGCTTCAAAATATAGCTTTTGAAGAACGTATGAACAACCAACTGTTGTTCATCAGAAAATTTGCCAGGGTTCTTGGAATTCTGCACGTGCACATCTTCGGCATACCCTCATCAGCGCCGCCACACCACATCATGGTCATCGCAAATCGCCGCCATTGCCGCCATCATCACTCAAGCGTGTTCACCATCGACGCATGGACATCATTATCGTCATCGGCGTTACCAGCATCGTCGCCATCATTGGTCTTGCCGTCGTTATCGTCATCATCGCCATTACCATTGCTACTACAATCGTTGCCGCCGTTGTCGACGTCATCACGATATTCGCCCGCCCGGGCCACCGACCGGATCGAAGTGCCCGCGCGCCAGCGTTGCCTCTGAGACGCGTTGGGGAGTTGCCATCGGTAAGTGTCATCGCGGCCGCATCAGCTGCGCCAAACCAGTTGGCCGCTCTGCGCGCGAGCTTGCGCGCGCCAGCACTGCCGAAGAGATACGCCAGCTAGTGGCAAGCAGTCGCCGCGGTCGCGGCCGCATGGGTTTTGCAAAACAAGCTGCGGGTGGGAGGGTGGTATGTTTGCGCGAGCAGTGGAGTTGACAACCCATGAGTTGGCAGAACTACATTGCACCACGCTGTCTGAACTACACAGGTTGCATCACGCAGCTTGCACCACATAGCTTGATCCCCACAGCGTTCACATCCAGATTGCAATGGTTCGCAATTTCGGGCCCACCCTGGCAGACATGCGGGGTACGCATTGGCAGGTTCGGGGCGCACACTCGTCAATGCCTCATCGTCTCTCTTCTCCTTCTTCTTTCGAGGGGGGGGGGTCGACGTGACCTCGCCTCGGAGGCCTGCGGCGTCATATGTGGCAGAGTGGTGCTAGCGTGTCCTGGGCCTCGACCCAACAATGGTGGCGCTGGGCCCAGGTGGCACAGAAAACGCGTTGCGTTGAGCATTGGGCTTGGATGTGTGTCACCTTAGCTGGTGTTGGACAACTTTGGATGTGACCTGAGTTCACCATTTTCCCATGACGACCGGCGTGCAGGAAATTCTCAAAAGGCACGAGCCGCTTGACAAGAGCCGAGTCCGCGCAGCGGGGTGGCCCCGCACGGGGGGCAAGCGGATCGAGAGATCGCGTTCGCCATCTCCGAGCGCTAGGAGTCCTCGCGACTCACCACAGCGGAAGCCGTAGTGATAAGTGTCCTTCGCCCCGGTCCACTGCGGCCATCGTTGGCTCGGGCACTGGACAGCCGACGCTCCGTCGTTCACCAAAGGGAATGGGAGAGGGAGAAGGAGGAAACGCAGAGGAAGGAAGAGGAGGGAGGAGGATGACGATGGGCAGGAAGGACGAGAGGAGGAGGAGGAGCACGAGGAATGGGAGGAGGAACGATGTGAAGACACGAAGGGCGAGAACGGGGCTACTGCTGCTGCTGTTGTTGCTGTTGATAGTGGTGATGGGGATGTGATCTGGTGATGACGATGATGGGGATCTGGAGCAGGTTTTTGAGGATGATGATGATGATGATGATGATGATGATGATGATGATGATGATGATGATGATGATGATGATGATGATGATGATGATGATGATGACGATGCTGCTGCTGATGATGATGCTGATGCTGATTATGATGATGATGATGATGATGAGGTTGATGATTGCGGTCAGGTCATGTTGCGTTTACGTTGCCAATATGATAGATATTCTGCTCATTCCCCCCAACTGGTGTTCGAAGCCTTTTTCCCCGATCGGAGTGTGCCCCTCGATTTTTGTTGTGGTCGAGCGAGGGCGGCCTCGCGTGCCAAACTGCGCCCCGAGCCCACGACTGCATCAGCAGCAGCGGCTCCCGCGTGGTGGGTCCTCGCGAGGCTCACCGTCCAGCCTGCTGCGGGCCTCAAACTCTTGGAGCGTCTCGAGGGGTCCGCCTTCCTCCCCCGACCGTAACGTCCTTGACGCTCTGCGAACATACGGAAACGATGCCCCAGGGAGTTGCCTGGAGGAGGGGCGTGGGTAAGCATATAGTGATGCAGGGAGGCCCACACTTGTGAATATGGATCTCGGTGAGCCTTTTTGGAGCCATCTTGGGGCAACGTTGGAAGCCCTTGCAGCTTTCTTGGGGCCCTCTTGGGGCCGTCTTGGGGCTCTCTTGGGCTCCTCTTGGGGGCCTCCTTGGGGCAATCTTGGAGGTCATCGATCAAAAAGGGGAGAGTCTAAATTACGCCTCCCCCCCGTCGGAGGCAGAACAATCGCATGCCGTGGCCCTCTTGGGGCCCTCTTGGGCGCTTTGGGGACCGTCTTGGGGCCCTCTCGGGCCTCTCTGGGACTATCTTAGGCGACCTGGGATTGCAACAGCCCATCGGACGCGAAAAGGCTAGAAGGCATAACTCACTGATTCTCCGCAGCTTTTGCTAGGATTAGGGCTTCTCGGGTGGCGTCCTTTGGGAGTTGAGCTGTCTTGGTGTGCTCTTAAGGTCCGTTGAAGAGCCTATGTTAGGTCGTATGGGGCCGTCTGGGAGCCAAAAGGGATCCTCTGACACCTCGGGATCGCCCCGGTACAGACCCAGGGCGAGGGGGAGGGGTAAATCTGTCCCCGAAGGGGAAAAAAGGGGTTGGGATCACCAACTCGTTGCACCGCCTGCGGCCAGAGGGCTCGTTGGATTCTAGACCGTTTCCAAGGATTGTGCATGTCGTCGGGCGACGACATCTATACATATCCACTGCCCCCTGGCCGGGCCCTTCCCGGGCCCTGGAACCAACCAGGAGGACGTGACGTGTATGCCGCTGCAGTGTTCAGGATGGGCCTGGCCAGGGAGCAGTGGATATGTATTGATTTCGTCGACCTCAGACCGTTTCCAAGGGCTTTGCATGTCGGACCCCGCACATCACGTGCGTTTGGTGTGCGGCTGCGCCTCCGAGCACTGATGTTTTCCGTGCCCCAAGGGCTCTGCCTCCCGTTCCTGCTCCTCCTCCTGCTCCTCCCTTCCCCCTCCCTCTTCCTCCTAATCCTCCTCCTCCTCCTTCCCTGCCTCTCCTTCTCTCATTCCTCCCCCCGTCTCCCTCGTGCATCCCTTTGCGGCGAGCGTCGGCTTCCGACCCACCCTGTCCCTCCTCCTCCCTTCCCCCTCCTCCCTCTCATCCCCCACCCCTCCCCTCCCCGTGCCGCATCTCTCCATCGCGCCTCCTGGCCCAACCATCCGACTCCGAGGGCCCCCCGACCCCGGCCCGCCCTGGCCCGACCCGGCCCGTGCTCGGCTCCGCCCCGCCCGCCCCAGCCCCCAGACCCCCGACGCCATGATTTTCTCATGACGCGATCCCCAGAGGTCCGGACTTCTTCGCCGGGACCGGTTTTCTTCATCCCGAGCTGTTTTTTGACGGTCCCGAGGGCCGGTAATAAGGGCCCCCAGAGGCGGAAAATATAGAAAAACCTCCCGTCGTGATTTTTTCATGACTCGAGCCCAGACATGCGACGTCCTGATTTTTTCAGGACGGCGTCCCCGCAAGTCCCGACCCTTTCCCCGGGACCGGTTTTTCATCCCGAGTCGTTTTTTGACGGTCCCGAGGCCCGGCGAGGGCCTCCAGAGGCCGAAAACGATGAAAAACCTTTGTCTCGATTTTTTCGAGACGCCCGAGGTCTGGGGAGGCGGAAGATATAGGAAAACCTCCCGCCGTGATTTTTTCATGACTCGAGGGGGTCTGGGCCGCCCGAGCTTCGGCGTCACCCCAACATACTTATACTATATGTGCGTCGCCCCCCCGGGGGCGATGCGCGCACCGAGGAATCTTATAGTATATGCGTTGTGGCGGGCGCATTCTGGCCACACCGCTCGGGAAACGATATACTACAAGATGGGTATACTATATGTTCGGGTCGGACGCGCGCCTCCAAGGAGGACATATAGTACTAGTATGTCTCTGTGCGTCCCATGGGGGGGCCCGCCCGCCCCGCCCCGACCGATCGGCGCCGGACGAGCCGGCCCGCCGCTGGCAGCCCCCTGGCCCGGGCCGAGGCGCGCGCCTCTGCCCGGAGGGCTGCGGGCGGGCGGAGGCGCCTCGGGCCGGAGGGGCCCCGGGCGGGCCCGGCCCGCCGAGGCCCGCCGAGTCGCGGCGAGGCTGGAGCCCTCGAGGCCCAGACCTCGGGCGTCTCGACAACAAAAATCGAGACAAAGGTTTTTCCTCGTTTTCGGCCCCTGGAGGCCCTCGCCGGGCCTCGGGGCCGTCAAAGAACGACTCGGGATGAAAAACCGGTCCCGGCGAAGAAGTCCGGACCTCTGGGGATCGTGTCTCGAAAAAGTCGAGACGTCGGGGGTCTGGGACTGGAGCCCTCGAGGGCGTGGCGGGCTCTGGTCGCCGCCCCCCCGCCCGGCCCGCCGAGGCCCGGGTCGTCGCGGCGAGGCCAGAGCCCTCGAGGGCGTGGCGGGCTCTGGTCGCCGCCCCCCCGGGGAGGCTCGCTCGCCGCACTTTCGAGGGTGCTCCAGTGGGCGCCCGCGGGACCCCGGCAGATCGCGCGCTCGCTCCCCGACAGCGCAGCCGTGCAGGCCTCGGGGCCTCTCTGGCCGCCTCGCGCCTCGGCGCGTTCGCTGCTCCTCGCGCCTCGCGCCTCGCCGTGCCTCGGCGCTCCCCGCCGCTGCTCGACCGCCGTCTGACGCTCCTGCGGCCGCCGAGTGGAGCAGCTGTGTGGGCCTCGGGGCGCCCCGCTGCGTGCTCCGGGCGTGGCAGCGGGCTCTTCTTGGAGTGGCGGCGGCCGGAGAGGCGCTCCCGCCTCGACGCTGGCTGCACTTGCCGTCTGCGCCACGCATGACTTCTCGCCTCGCGCTTCGGGGCTCCACAGGGACTGCCCGCCCCCGACAGCCGTAATGCTGTGATGCTAGGACTGACCGTTCTGATCTGCCCGCGGGCCCTCCACGCACACGCTCACACACACAAGCACCACACACACGCACACACGCACACACGCGCACACGCGCACACGCACGCGCACGCGCACGCGCACGCACACGCACACGCACGCGCAAATGCAAATGCAAACGCACGCACGCACAAACGCAAACGCACACGCACACGCACACGCACACGCACGCACACGCACACGCACACGCACACGCACACGCACACGCACACGCACACGCACACGCACACGCGCACCGGCACGCGCACGCACACGCACGCACAACCACATGCACACGCTCACACGCACACGCAATTGCACACGCACACCCACACGCGCACGCCCACACGCACACGCACACGCACACGAATACGTACACGCACACGCGCACGCACCCGCACACCCCCACACGCACGCGCACGCGTACACGCGCACGCCTTCACACACACCACGCGCACACACACACACGCGCACACACACACACACTCCCACACGCACACGCACACGCACACGCACACGCACCCGCACACGCACACTTACACGCACACTTACACGCATACGCACGCACACACACACGCATTCTCACATGTACACGCACACGCACACGCACACGCACACACACATACACACAAGCACACGATCAGGCACACGCACGGGCACACGCACACGCACACGCGCACGCACAGGCACAAGCACATGCACACTGACACACGCACGCTCTCACACACGCACGCACACGCACACGCACATACACTCACGCACACGCACACGCAAACGCACACGCACACACGCACACACACAGGCACACGCACGCGCACGCGCACACGTTCACGCGCACACATACGCACTCACACGCATTCGCACAGTCACGCGAGCGCACGCACACACACACACGCACACGCACATGCACACGCACCCACACACACACTCACACACGCACGCGCACACGCACACGCACACGCACACGCTCACACACAACACACATACACACACGCGCACGCGCACACGCACACGCGCACGCAAAAGCACACACATACGCACGCGCACACGCACGCGCACACTCACACCCACACGCGCACATGCACACGCACACGCACACGCCCGGGCACACGCACACGCACACGCACACGCTCACACACACGCACGCACGCACACACGCACGCACGCGCGTACACACAAACACCCACACACACGCACACGCACACGCACACGCACACGCACACACACACACACGCACCCACACCCACGCACGCACAAGCACACGCACGCACACGCACACGCACACGCATACACACACGCACGCGC